ACACAGACACACACACACCATATCCCCCCACAGACATCCACGCATACACGAACCACACACAGACCACTGACACATACACACATCACACACAGACACAAACACACCACACATACATATCACACACGCACCACACACACACGTGGCCTGTGACTGCACCCAAACAGGACGTGCTACATGTCAGAGCACCCAAGGTGGGATTATTCGAAAGCAGAGTGGAGGAGGGTGGGGACAGGGCCTGGGGTCCCGGGGAGCGGCACTGTCGGGGAGAGCCAGGGTGCAAAACCGATGAGGCTGGGGGCCCGAAAGAGGGCTCCTGGGGCCTGGCTGGGCTCCAGGCGCAAGCTGGGGCTCGGGAGCTTCGTCTCACACACTTCTCTTCCTCTCTTCCTTTCTCTCTCTCCTTCTTTCTTTCTAACAGAGACAAAGGGGTGAAATTATTAGCATCAGTGGACACGCGCAGAGAAGATTACGGAAGTGCCACTGTTGTGAGGATAAAGGCGGTGTAATTAGTAACACCGCCCAGCCGCCTTGCGCTCCCTGTGAGTTCTGATCGGCGCCTGCCTCCACCTCGGCCACACACTTGCCACGGCCACGCCGCCCTGGCCCCGCCGCCCTGGACGCCACTAAAATGAGCAGCACGGAAAAGCACTCCGCAGCCTGGGAACCCGGTTTCCGCTGCAGTTGGTCTTTTCGTGCCTGTTTTCTGTGTCGTGGGCAGAACTGGGGAGACAGTGTCCCAGCAGGTCAGCGCAGGGTTCCATCCCACAGAAGACACAGCCTGTCTCCAGGCCGAGGCTCTGAGGGAGCCCAGTGTCCCTCCCACCCAGGACCACCTCCTTGGCCACCCAGCAGGCCAGGCACCAGGCTTTGGGTGGCGGACCTACCTCAGGCAGCAGCCCTGGAGCCCTGGGATCCCATCTGCCCCACTTCTGCCCTTGAGGTGCCCTCGCTGGGCTGAGGGTCAAAGGTCACCTCACCTGGGGGTCACCTGGAGGACCAGGGGCAGGTGAGGCAGCTCTCAGACCCCAGCGGGCATCCAGCCCACCTGCTTGCCAGTCTCGCTTTGCCCTGTCCCTCCTGGTCTAGAGAAATGAAACCTCCTCCTCACGACAGGAAGCAGGGGAGTGCCCTCGAGTGTGACTGCGAACCTGAAAACACCCCCACACACGTGTCTTTCCGCACCGCCTGAAGAGAAACAGAAAGCAGCCCTCCAGCCCTGCGAGGCTGGGCTCACCTGCTGCCCGACTCCAGGCGGGGCCTCCCGCCTGCGGGGCCGCCGGAGAAACTGAGGCCCACCGCAGGCAGGGAACCTGGGACGGACACCCGGGGAGCCAGGCAGGGGAAGTGCGTGTCTTTGGGCGTGGAGCTTTGTCCTGAGTGTTAAACGCGGTCAGGTGGTCTGCGTGTGTGGGGAGAATATGCTCCCTCTGCCGCCGCCCCTGAAACACTCCTTTCCTTGATCTGACCTGTGTTTTCAGGCACGAGAAATGTGTGTCTTCTCCAGAAGCAAAGCAGCACCTGGGCCGAGGTCCGCGTGGGGCCCTGGGACAGGGCCAGGCTGTGACGGGACTCAGGGTCCCTGCGGGGGGTCCCTGCCTTCTGGCCTGAGCTCTCCCCAGTGTTAAAGGTGGGATGAAGTGTGTTAAAACCCCTTTGCAGCCAAACACAACGGAACTCCAGGGCAGCGCTGGCCTACAGCCCCGTGGGCAGGCCTGACTATTGCAGGGACCCCGTCTCCCCCATACCAGTCTGCCTCTGGGACACAGACAGGGACAGAGGACACAGCGTCAGGGGAAACCCTTCAGCCCAAGATTCATCACCTCACACACAGAGACACAGAGAACTTTCTGGATGACTCAAGCTGGGAGTGCTAGACTATGTTAACTTTGAATTTCTGGTTTATTTCTTTGAAGGAGGTGGGGGCACTGCTTGGCTGGGGCATCAGTCCTGGGGAATGGACAGTCTGTCCAGCTCTGTCCGATGACGCAGTGGAGCCCGGGCTCCGTGGGTCAGCCCACGCTTGCTGTCCTTCCAGCCTGGAATTCAGTTGTTCCTCTGAAGGGCACTAGGACACAGACAGGGTCCGATCCATTCCTCTTACTGCCTCGCTTTTCCGTCGTAACGCTGATCTTTTGCAAGTGGAAGCTAGCCTGCATTCTTCCGGAAAAGTAAGAAGCGTAATGAAAGTGACTGTCCGTGGAAGAATCAATCCATCTGCCCATCCATTCACGGAGCAGACCTCTGACGAGCACCTGTTACGTGCCAGGTCCTGAAATTCTGCGCTGAGCAATGAAGCCAATGAGCAGACACTCACTGAAAAGTAGCAGCCAAGGGGTGAGTGTGCACGTGCATTGACAACACCGAGAGAGGAGACAATGGGCTGGAACAGCCGGGAGGAAAACATTTTCATGTGTCCATATGTTAGTGTACACAAAGAAAAATTGTGCAGCCGTCTACACTATTTTACACCAAAACTGTTAAGAAATGGCATCTCCGGGGATTTTCAGTTTCTATGTTGTGTTTGTCGTTTTTCTAACTTCTTAGAACAAATGTGCTTCACTTTCATAATCAGAGAAAAACCAATCAGGTTAAATGATAGTCATTGTAATGGGAAGGGCGGTGGGCCAAGTCCTAGGGCAGCTGTGGGGCAGGGGCTGCCCTTCCCCAGTGGAAAGGGCACGATTTGGGGAAGTCGCTGACCAGTGCAGCAGAGACGCCAAAGCAGGTGCCCTCTGACATTCCCCCGGGAAGGAGCCCTGAAGGAGTCACACACGTGGCAGACATGCCCTCGTTGGTGGCAGCGCCTTTTGTGGGCCAGCGTGGAGGCATTGTGTACACTGGGGTTCACTCGCATGGAGAAGACTCCGGCCCAGTCCGAGAGGATAAACCCAGCCCAGTGCACCAACGGGAAAATCTTGGAAAGAACAAGAGGTAGGATGATGTGCACAGTTTGATTCCACTTAGGGGAATTGTTAAAACACCTGTAAATCCATTGTGTGTGGATCCGAATAGAAAAGATAAAAGTCCAGACGTGTGGAGGAACCTGGGGAGAAAAGGACTGTGGGCTTGGGGCAGGGACTGGGCTTCACCTGGGGCGGTAACACTGTATCCTTCACGAAAGTGCTCGGGCTGCTTTGCCCGGTCACTGTTCCTCGCAAACACTGGCCCCTGGCCCATCTTCAGCTTGACCGCAAAGGCACTTTGGGACAAGGTCTCTGTGTCCCCTTCCGCCTGGCGTTCCTTCCTCCCTGCTCACTCGTGACCGCTCTCTCCGGCTGCTGCTCTGTTCCCACTCTCCGCTCGCCCTTCCACACCCCACCTCGTGGATGCCAGCTCCGTGTCCCAGGCTCACCTGACCTGGCCCTGCCCCTGCCTGCTGGGTGCCCAGCACGGACGGAAGGCTCCACGGCGCTCGCGTGTGTACTAGGGAAGCCGACCTCGGACTTGAACCTCACCCGTCCGATGCTACATGAGGTTTGGGGTTGGCACCGATGGGGAAAATGATTTAACAGCGAGCAGAGAGCGGGTGTGTTCAGTGAAGGACACCGTCACCCTCCTGTGGGAGGCTCCAGGGAAGGAGCCCCGGAAGTCGTGACTAGGAGCCCATTGGAGTCTTCTGGAGTTGAATTTGGATTGGGATGAGGTAGGAAAATCTATGCTCGTTGAATACAGAATGCAATTGTCTGTCGGTGCAGGAACTGAAGTATCTGCGGCAAATTACACTGAAGACTCCATTGTCACAGGCAGATTAGCTGATGCGTGGTTCCAAGTACAGGCGTCTAATGCTATTACTCCTGGTTGGCTCTGCCCGGCAGGTAACCTCGTGGAATAAGCGACGGCATTGCTTGCACAACGCATTTGATCACACAGGACGCTTCTTTCAAAAATTGAGTTCTCTGTGGCAATTTGAGACCCGTAATCAGCAAATTAGATGATTACAGCGGGGATAAAAATAGTCTCCTAACAATGTCCAAGGTAGAAATGTGATTTGAATTTCAAACTGCGGCGGGAGCGCGCGCATCTGGGTGCGATGATGAGATGCGTCGCCTTTGCCTCCCCTTCCCGTCCCGGCTGCGGGCTGCAGCCTAACGGCGCCCGCGTAAACCCGTCTGGTTTGCGTGAGACTCAGACGGCAGAGGTGTATCCCGTCAGCTCCAGATCTGAAGGGTCCCACAGTTGGACTTCTTTGCCCCCAGGCTTCAAGTCAACATGAACCTTAGCATCATCCCCACTTGGCATGAGAGGACCTCCATGGAACAGCGAGAGGCCCGCCCGGGGAGGAGGACGCTGGCACCCTCCAACCCTTCCCCCCCCCAAGGGCGTGTGCTTGTTCCCAGGCACAGGGGAGAGATGTGAGCAGCCCTGGTGAGGTCCAGGGGTGACCCGAGCTGGGCCCGAGATGAGGACGATGAATCATCACGGCTAGTCCATGAGGTGTTCTGTGTGTCTCTAACACAAGGAACACGCACTAGGGGCCACATGGCCTCCTTCTCCGGGCCCTTCGCCCAGGCACCTGCCTCAGAGCATTTTTCTGCCCCCATGGGCCACACTGGCCACTTCCCCTGGTGTCTGTTCACGTCACCTTGCATCAGCCAGCTCTAGCTGAATCACAGAACCAAAATGACTTGGCAAATGGGCAGGTAGAGCCGACCGCGAGGGGCCTGAGGTTGTACTGACCATGAGCAGTGCAGGCAGCTCCCTGGGGCGGGGAAACACCCTGGGGTCTCGCAGAGCCACAGTGCATACTGACCACCACGGTCTCTCACCCACAGCTCACGACTCGCTTGTGGCAACACTGTCTTTTTAAAAAATCCCGACTTCCTGAAAGGCAGCATTCCAACCTGATCCATAAGGCATCTCCTTCCGTCACCTTCAGTGAGACCCTGCAGAATGCTAGCCCACCAGACGGCCTAGGAGTGAACGTTGACCTCAAACCCGTGTGACCTCCCACCGTCAAGCTCTCGAACTTACAATGAAACCTTGGAAACAGAAACGTCAGTGCCACCGCTTTGCGTAGAAGACGCAAGTGAAGACGCAGCCCTCTGTGGATGCTTGCCAGGCACTTGCGAATGCCGCCACTGAAAAGTCTCTCCTTTCTCAGGCCAGAGCATCTCTGCCGGAAACGGAAGAAATGATCAGTCAGGGTGTCATTCGAAGTTAAACCGCGTCACGTGGAAATGTAGGGTGCAGTTGCATCAGGAAACGGAATTAAAATCGGCCAGAACTATAACAAGTATGATCACTCTCTAAGTACAACACGTCGAAAATGGCTGTTCTTCGTCCTACATCAGATTTTTTACAAAATGAGAAAAAAACGCCACATGGACAAAAGTTGATCTGTTTGCTCATCTGCCCATCCCTTCCTGAACCCACTCGTACACCACTGCGCTGAGGAGCGCGGGACCTGACGAGGCCTCCACGGCGAGAAGGTCCCACAGATGCGAGGCTCGCGCGGCAGGGCTGCGAGCGGACCGTGACGTCCTCTGCGCCGACAGCGGGGACTCCGTCAGCGGCCAGGCTCAGGACGGCCCGGGCTGCCTGGACCTGGACTCTGCGTCCCTTGTCAGAGCAGCTTGGCCGCTACGTTCAGCTCTCCGAACGGACTCTCAGGCTGGGTGCTGCGCGGCGGGCAGCAGGGGACAAACGCCCAGCACTGCCCCGAAGCTCATTCCCACCGAAAGGCCTGAGCGTCAGGAGGCACGAGTCAGGCCTGAGCACCGGGCACAGCCCCTCGGGCGGACTTCGACCGCGAATGAGCACACACAGCCGTAAAACCAGCTGTCTCGAAGACAGTGTCGCCTTTATTAAGAACGGACAGACATAGCAGCACTGGAGACCAGTCCATCAGGCACTGTACGTGGTCGGGGCAGCGGGGGCGGGCCCCAGCGAGGCGGCTGCAGCCGCACACCAGGCTGGGAGGCGGCCGCCCGGGCTCCTCAGCTCCAGCTGTGACCCGTGAGGATGCCCATCGGTCAAGCAGCACCCTCCTAGCAGCATCAGGAGCACTCACTGGTGTCTGGAGGTGGCGGGTGTACTTGACCCACTACTAACCAACTAAGCATTCGGTAAAACGCTGCCCGGCCAACGCCATCCCCAGAAACTTGTGCTGGGGAGCGCGCTCCCGTGTCAGCATCTGCGAAGCCGAGGCGGCCCCGGGCGGGCACGCGAGGACTGGCAGCACTGGGCACGGCTGTCTTTGGTGAAGAGGCTGGTGTCAGGCGGTACCCTGCTCGCCGCTCTGCTTCTTCCCGCTCGGGGGGGGCGTGAGGAGCCCGGACGGCAGAGGGGACACCCGATTTTGTTCAGACAGTATGGCTTTCTTGGCTTGGGCTTTGTCCTGTGGGTAAGAGCAGAAGTGAGGAGTCTTACCGTGGAGGAACGTCCTCTGTGCGTAACCTACCGTGCTCTCCCTACGGAGGTGAGCAGGGAACAGGAAAGCTAGAGGTCTGGCTCCCCGGCCCCGAGCACGCCTTTCCTTCCTCAGGAACGAGGCCCAGGCCGCAGGAGCGCCAGTGCCCGGCGGGACAAGCAGGACTGACCAGCAGGTCCAAGCTGTTCAGGTGTGTCTGGATGTTGTGGGCGTCTTCGGCGGGGACGCCCCGGAACTGCTTCAGCTTCGGACTTCCCGTCTCCCTGATGACCATGGCAAAGGGCACCATCCACTTGACACACTTCTCTATGTCGCACCACTGGTACCCTGCAACGGACAGCAGTCAGGCCCCGCCGGAGGCTGGGGGCCCGTCCGTCTGGCCCGCCAGGAGTGCCAGGAGACGCACCTGAGACCTTCTGCGTCAGCTCGGATGAGGAGAAGTGGTACAGGGCGGCGGCAGCAAGGACGCCGTAGGAAAACTCCAAGCAGCCAACGTCCAAGACGCAGAGATCCAGAAGCTGCGGAGGACAGAGCACTGAGCGGGCGCCGCCACCCCCCCAGCCACGGGCCGGGCCCCAGGCCACGGGCACCCACCTCTGCAATCTGGACGAAGACGTGCTGGGGATACTGAGGCAGGAGCACCTCGTACAAGTCATTCAGGTAGGCCACCTGCATGTACACGTTCAGCCACGACACGATGGTCAGGGGACTTAAATGCCACTTCAGAGCCTGAGGGAAGCAGAGGAGAGACCTACGGCTGAGAAAGGAAAGACGTTCTGCTCCCCTGTGCACTCCCTCCCACGGAGCTGAAGATGCGCCGCCCAGGCCACGGTGCCCAGCTGACGACGGGCCCGGCGCGCCCCTGGGTGGGAGGGCTTTGCGTGCACTGAGGGCGGAGCTGCACCCACCTTCATGATGATCAGCTCCATGGTGAGAATGTCATCTCCCGAACAAGCCCCATCTGTGACGTAAGCAAACTGGTGCAGCTTCGGAGGGTAGATTTCCTGAGAGGAAGCAAAAGCAAGAAGCTGCTAGCAAAGCCGGTCCCAGCCCAGGGGCTGCGCGGTCTCGGGTGGATCCCGGTCAGGGCACAAGCCTGGGTTGTGGGCTCCATCCCCAGTGGGGGGGGCGTGCAGGAGGCAGCTGATCAATGTATCTCTCACACTGATGTTTAGCTCTCTCTCTCCCCCTTCCTCTCTCTAAAAAAATAAATAAGAACGTATTTTTAAAGAAGCCAGTCTCTGCCAGCTTTGACGTATGACGACCATCCGGAGTCATAGGTCGCAGTGCACCGCAGGGAGATCAGGGAGGGTAGCGTGACGAATAAACCTGGAGCCACGCCAGGGTCCCCACTGCGTTAAAGGGAAAGAAAGAAACACCCGCCCTCACCAATCAATCATCAACCAATCATTCTACTCATCGGCTAGTTTGAAATGTCCATCTTTCCCATACCATTAGCAATATCTTTGAAAGTTGCACCCATTGCCCTGGCCAGTGTGGCTCAGCTGTTAGAGCATTGGCCTGCGGACCAAAGAGTCACGGGTTCGATTTTGGCCAAGGGCACGTTACCTCTGTTGCAGTTCATCCCGGACCCTTTTGGGGCCATGCAGGTGGCAACCAATCAATGTGTCTCTCTCACATGATGTTTCTCTCTCCCTCCCACTCTATCTGAAGATTAATGTAAAAATACCCTCAGGGAGGATTAAAAAAAAAGAGTTGTACCCATCCACCCTTGTAATCCCACCAAAATATTAATCTTTTTAAGTCATGGTTTAATGTCATTGCTTAAAGTAACTGCATTAACCTATGCACTCACGGCTTCTTGCTCTTGGTTACATTGTAGCATTTTTTGCACGTGTCTTAACTTTAGAAGGCCTCAAATGAGAAAAATGTAGGCTACACCTTAGAGACAAACAGCTGGCCTCATCCCCAGGTGCAGGGACAGCATGAGCCACGTGACATGCTTGCAGCCCACGCACCTCCAGCTTGGCGGCGATAAATAAAGACGAGATCCCAATGAGCTGCAGGAGCGTCTTCACAATGTCCTGCTGCGTCGCCATGTATCGGTCAAAGAAGTCCTGTGCCAGGTAAAACGTCTCTCGGTGAAGCTTGTAGACTTCGCACACCTGCAAACACGTGCGGCAGGTTTTAGAACAGTTGCTCGAGAGAAATAAGAGAGAAAAGAACTTGCCCTGCGTTTGGTGAAGGGCAGTACTCGTAACTCGAGAGAGAAGTGTGCTTCCCCTCGCGGTCCGAGGGGCTCGGACAGAGGGGCTGCGCTGGGGCTGGGGTCAGCGGGGAGCGGCGTGAGCCTGGCGGAAGCAGCGCTTCCAGAAGCTAGACTGTGTCACTCAGACAGGAGAGCATGAACAGTCTTCACACCCGGGCGCGCGCAGGAGGAAGCTGAGAAGCTGGAACAGAGTTAGTCAGAGCCTAGGACGTGTCCAAACTCTTCGTCACCACAGGCAAAGCTTCAGAAAGCAGAGCGAAGACGCACGACTGTGGTGCAGGCTCTCGCTCGGACACCGACCGTCTCAACTCCAAACCTGGCACAGTGCCGGCCTCACCTCCTCCCAGGACAGCCCCCAGGAAGGGTGACATCTGAACACGACGGGGTGCGAGACCCCAGGACATGTCAGACCTCAGCCCATCGGCACCGGCCACGTTCTGACAGCGCACACCTGCTGTTCCGCACAGGACATCCCTGAGTGCACTTCCCCGGGGTAACAAGTAGAAAAGGCACCCAGAAACAGCAAGTAAAACATTCTAGAAAATTCCATCCGTCACCAGAGTACAGTGGACCCGGGAACAGCACGGGCCTGAACTGTCCAGATTTGGCTTCCCCCGTCCTCCCAGAAAGCCAATCTGCCAGATGCCTTCCCTGGCAGAGGGAGCCCCTCCTTGCCCCGAGGCTCCAGGCGTGCAGGAGCGCCCCCTCGTGGAGGCACTGAGTCACCCCGCCCCCACCGGAGGGGCGCTGCCCGGACGCTGCTTATGTTTAACACTCATCTGCCAGTTTGCAATGCTCTTGATCACGAACTGCAGAAGTGTGACCGTGTGGTCCCTGAGATTTTAGCGATGCATGCTGCTGGGATAAAATTCTGGGAGGAAAAGAAATGGATTCCACGGTGTTGAGAATAAACGGTGCCCGCTTCTGTCAACGTAAGCTTGTCCGGGGTGAAAAACCCACGGTGGCAGCATCACGGGGCTTACCTGTATTCCACTGCCTGTGTCCAAACACAATTTAATCAACAAAGATCAAATATCAATGCTTACAGTAACTGGGAAAGGCAACTTCCGTCATTATTGAAACTTTGATGAAAAAGATAGATGCCTATTACACTAGATGCCAAATACCGAAAACAAGACAGAGGCGAAACGTGACCGGAGCATTCAGACACACAACCCACAAGGTCCGGCACAGGGGACTATGACCTGACTGCCTCCCCCTTCTCGGCCCTTCCATTCTGGGAACACTCGGCCTCAGCTCAGATGCCATGGTCACCGCGCAGCCCCACCCTACCGGTCAACAGGACAGTGTCAATGCTGAGACGTTCTGGCACAGTGAGACTCTGCTATCCCACCAAAGGTTTAGTCATGAATGCATCCTTCAGACTAATTTATGACCGTAGGGGGAACTAGGGACAAAAATGGGATTCTATGGAAAGTAACCTCACAGGGTGATCTGATCATGAATCCCCAGCCGAGCAGAACATGGTGAGTAGCTGTGCCCCAGGCATGTAACTTTAGTAAAAGGTTTTAACCAGCTCTGTCCGTGTTCTTGTGCACCTAGGTTAACACACCTTGAAACGCCAGAAGCAATGCCCCTGATGGGGACCAGTACCCTCAAGAGAGCAGATCTTACTCATCCTTCAATCCCATAACCTCCTTGCTTCCCCGCCCTCCTGGGACCTCCTTTACAGTCCCTCCTTAGTTCCAAATGCACAGAAGCTGCAAAATTGTAAAAATTAAGATGCCAACGTAAAAACATCTGGAGGGTAAAGAGACTTCAGAAATTCTTTTACGGAAACACGCAAGCCAACGAGAGAAAGTCAGACCACGGCAGCGCGTGACCACAGCCTCGGAGATGCAGACCGTGCCAAGGGACCAAGCCCGGATGGGAGCAGCGCCGAGGTTGTCGGGAGGGCTCTGGGCGGCGCAGGGAGACCCGCTCACCTCCATCAGCCAGTCCAGCAGGATCGCGCGCATCTTCGGCTGCAGGAGAGGGTGCCGCTGCAGAAGGTGCTTGTCCCTGAAGTACGTCTTCTCCTTGTTCAGCATGATTTTCCAGACCTCCTCTCGGTTTGCCCAGCTGCAGAAACACCACCAGAACACAGCACACACAGTCAGTGCACACGCACGCACGCACGCCGCCGCCAGGAGGGGCGCGGAGGCAGGGGCGGGCGCTCACTTCAGCACAGGCAGGGGCGAGGCTCGGGCCGGCCTGGCACCGGGAGGCTTGTGTGTGGAGGTGGGGTACGCCAGCTCGTCCTCGTCTTTGTCAGGCGTGGGGATCAGGGAGCACGGGTTCTCACAGGCTGCATTACCGTCCCAAGACTGGAAAGGAAAAACAGGTTTCTAAATGCTTGATGGAAACCAGCCACTTCTGCATTCAGTGATTTGTAGAAGAGGCAGTAATTCGAAACAGGTCTTCGCTCTGGGGAGCGGGCTCCAGGCCTCAGTAGATGTTCTGGCCGCAGTTGGGACGGAGACGCGCAGGACAGCGAGCGCCGCAGGAGTGACCCCGGCCTTCGCTTCGCTTCCACCAGAACTGAGGAGTCTCCGAACATGAAATCAGTCTAAGAAAACGAGGCCAGCAGCACTCTACCCTCCTGTGACCATTCTCACTCGAAATGGGTGCAGGAGGGTAAAACGACGCAAATGTCAACGGCCCTCGTGTTATCACCAACACAGCCACGCGCGGCCCAGCATGACACTGGGGGCCACGGCAGTGCCTCGCGGGATCCCTCGGCCACGAGTCACAGGCTTATTCCTAACAAGCACGACTCGTGTTTGAAAGCTTCTTACAAGTGGAAGACAGAACTGCCAATGGAGGTGTTTACATAAGCACTGCCATTCACAAGTACAGAGAAAGTGTAAGCTGCCATCAGTAATGAAAGTCTCCCCATTTTCAAACAAAACGTCACATCAAATGTGACATCGTCCCTGGGTTGCAGGACCAGCCAGATATATTCTGTAATGGGGAGCTTCTGTTCTCGTCAAAGAAATACCTGCCCAGTTTAACTCAGGTCAAGCCACGGGCTATGCTAAGTGTGCGGAGACAGGGCCCAGAGAGCCCAGACCCCGGACTCCCGCCCCAAAGCCTCGCACTGGAGACAGACACACACACGTGAACACACCATTATTAAAACCTCTTTTAAAAACCTTTCTTTTAAAGATGCCACATATTTTATTCAATTTTCAGTACCTGGAAAATACTAAGGCCATTTTGCCATTTAGGAAGATGTTTTTTTAAAACTATCGTACTACTCTAAAAAGAAGCCTATAACTGATTTGTTAAAATTTTTACCGAATGTATTAGGGTAACACTGGTTAATAACGTTACATGAATTTCAGGGCTACAACTTCATGCGACTGACTGCCCCACTGTTCGCTCCCTACCCAAAGCCTAGACCCCGCCCACCCCCGTCTACACTTGACCCTCTGCAACTGTGGTTCCCCCCCTCAACCCCCTCTGGTAACCACTGTTCTGCGTCCATGTATGACTGACGTTTTCCACTGCACATGGTGATTTTGCTGAAGATGTGGCAGGTAGAGACCCTGCTGGCACAGAAGCCCTAGGAGTGATGCCCCGGGCATGCTTTTCAAAGCCAAGACTGTTAACACCAGAGGAAAGGGAGACAACTGGCACTGAGGTCGACCTGTCACAGCTCACCAGCCGCTCTCACAGGAAGCCAGGGCACTTTCGGGGCCGAGGAGAGCGAGCAGGACAGAGCCTTCCACCCAGGTGCGCAGAGCCGGGCATGCAAATACTCCAGGGCCACATCCTCTGCCCACTCTGGCCTCGCGTGCTGGGGACGTCTCCTCAGCCTGGGAAGCGCTCAGCTGCCCTCCCTTCAGGAGTGAGTTCCTGTTCTGAAGGCAGAACCTGGAGCCACGTGCTGCAGCCCGGAGGCCGCACGGCCGAGCAGGCCTCGGGCCACGGCTGGCAGCAGCTCCGCAGCTCAGACAAGCTGGGTGACAAACAGAATCCCGGTTCTGAAAGTTGGCCATTCTAGGAACCAGTGTATGAAGCAGAACAGCGAAGTCTATGTCCTGTAACCTCAGTATATACCGTGTTTCAGAGGAAGCAAGACCAGTCTGACTTCAAGAAACGGGCTAGGACGGCAGCAACAGACCAACCTTGACTGTTCTGACGACCCTGTCTCCTTATGCCACTTTCGGTTAAGAACAGAACCACTTTATGCAAACTTAGGTTCTGAGAACTGACAGCAAGTCCAGGGCTCCACGTCTATAAAAAAGTTGCCTCACATGCAAAAAATCCAACAACAAAATGGGTGTGTTACATGGGCTTCAGGTAAAGCCCGTGTTCGCTAAGGCCCAAGGCGAGAATGAGAGGCCCCATGCTGTCCTAATGAGCAGTTCCAAGGGGTTTAGCATGATGGCTGAACTATGACAACCCGGAATTCAGTGTAATTAATGGGCAAAAAGGTTCTGGGTCACCCAAACGTTCTGGCTTCACGAATCGACACAAATAACAAGACATCGATGGCTCCATACAGAGCCGGACAATTTTCAAGCTATCTACTGTACGAAATGTGCACAAACATGTTATCATTAATCTCTGGACAACCGTGCAAATGCCTTCTGGTGGGAAATAACATGGCATTCACATATCACAACTCCCAACTCTCCACAGCGGGGACAGGGCCCAGCTCCGACTCAGGCACCCGAGGCACCGCCCAGGCGATCCTTCAGAACAGAAACTCCTCTGAAACTCCAAGAAGTCGATGCGGACAGACAGCTCTGCCGCACCCTCGGCTGAAAACTTCACCTCAAGTACAGCTGAGAAAAGAACCGACCGTGAATGTCACAGAAGTAGAGACCCATTTTAAAATACCCACAAAAATCAACTTGCTTGGTTTGAAGACTTGTTTTAAGGGGAGAAAAAGGAAAAAACAAAGGAAAGAACTTGGGATGCACGGTCTCATTTCCTGCCCTACAGTGAACGGTTTCTTCTGATAGAGAAGGACCTGGCTCACTCTTCAGCGGGCCTGGCCCAGAACACTTGCCACTGGGGCCTTCTGTGCAGCGGCAGACGGCCCACCAAGGGGCCCATTCCTTCGAAGCCCTTCGCTCTCCCACACCCAGCTGCTCACGCCCTGCAGTGATGCCCAGGGCTCCCCTAGGCAGGCCCGAACACTACCCCTGCTCAGCTTTTATCTGCACGGGGGCCAGAAGGCCTGATCGGCTAGTTTAGAAGCTGCCTAACTACAGTCTGCAGCCATTTCTGGAGGTAGAGAGATAATACAAGCCTTTTCTGCCAGGAACTTCTGATATTATAATGATATCATGAGCACGCAGAGACTTTGGCGGGAAGTCCGTGAAGGAGGGGCGATAAACATGGGCCAGTCAATAAAAAATGTGTTGAGACACATCATTACACAGAATGTTCCACTAATCCTCCGGCTGAGGCCAGGCCGAGCCCGACAGTAGTGACCACTGCAAGCAGTTGCTGGGTGGGCTGCACGAACCTCCAGAAAGAGGGTTCAAGCCTCAAACCTGACTTACAGGCAGCAGAAGGGGCCAGGGAGGGCCTTCAGCTCCATGAGGTGGAAACACAGTGTGAATGGGGGAGGGGCCGTTTATGAACACGCAACCCCCGTGATCACCGTTACCCCAAGAGCTGCGAGTCAGGAGCCCAGAGACCAGCTGGAGGACAGGCTCCGTCCTGGGCTCGCACAGGACTCTGGGAGCGTTTCTTCCTCTGAGTCTCGTTTCCTCCAGGGCAAAAGGAGAGGGACTGAGTTCACGGTGTCCGCTCTGGTTCTCCCAGTAGGAGCACAAGGCGTTTCCCCAAGCCCAAGGCTGGCAGAGGTCCGTGCCCACAGACGGGCACTCCACGGGACTGAGGCCACAGAGAAAAAGCCGTCCACCAGCGGCAAGACAGCGTGAGACCCACGGGCCCACGAGGAGCAGCGCCCGCCACGGAGGCCCAGTCCGCACGAGAACCTACCTGCCCGCCACACGGGCCGACACTCCTCACAGTCCTGTCGATCTTGGCAATTTCTTCATCTGGATCCTGCAAAAACTAACACACGACAACCCCACCCCCAAGGAACCACACCAAAGGGCCCAAAGACAAAAATCACAGAGAGAAGAGAAAGAAAGTCGGTTAGGCTCTGAACAGCATTTCCGCCAACGCAGACCTCCCTGAACGTACCCCCCTACCAATACAGGCGCAGAGCCCAATCTGGCACCCAGGTACGATGGGGGGCCGTCCTCCCCCACCTGTCTCCTTTGTACTCACAACGGCCACATTCGCCTTCCTCTTCCTGGAGCGAGCGGAGGCATCGGTGCCGCTCTCCTCTTTCATGGTGTCTGGCTCCTTGGCATCCCTGCGGAGTCCGGGTGGCAGAAGTCAGGGTGAGCTGCCCGTGCGGGCCCGCCCCTCCCCCACCGCGCACACCCTCCGCGCCCCGAGTGGCCGGGCACTCACCTCTCCCTCCTCTCCCTCGGCATGGCGCGGGCGCGGAATCCGACCTCGGGCCTGCGGACACGGGGCGGGCAGTGGGGTGAGCACGGCCCACGGAGCGGACCGGGCCCGCCGGCCTGCCCCGGACACCCCTCCCCCTCCCGCGCGGCGGCGGCGGCGGCGGGAGCCTCCCGGGCCGGTCGGGAAAATGGCCGATGGGCCGGGGTGGCTTGTCACCCGCGGCGCCGCCAACAGCCCGCGATACCGGGTCCGAACCCGGGGTGGGGGTGGGGGCCCGACGGCCCCCGAGAGCCTTTCCGGCCCATCGCCGCCCTCGGAGGCCGGGCTGCCTCAGTCTCCCCCTCGACATCTCCCCTGGCCCTCGCCGAGCCACCCTGCCCGGGCACCCCCTGCTGACGCCCCCGGGGGCCCGGCGCCCCGGCCGCGCTCCGGCCGCGCCCCACCCCCACCCACCCCACCCCGGCGCGGCCGGCCGGACCCGGGAGTCCTCGCCCACCGCGCCGTTCGCCGCCGCGCGGCCCTCACCCGAGCCGGGTCCCCAGGCAGGCAGCACGCGCGAGGCCGGGACAGCGGGCGGAGGGGCGAGCGGGCGGCCGGGAGCGGGCGGCGGGCGAGCGCGCGGCGGTGGCGGGATCCGCGCCTGCCCCCTACACCGCGCTGGCGGTCGAGCCGGCTGCTCCTGCGCCCGGCGAAGAGCGGGACATTTAAAAATCTCTGCGCGCGGAACCGGCCCCCGGCCCGCCCTCGCGCCCTCCCGCCACCCTCCGCCCCGCCCCGCCGGCTCCGGGCCGGCCCAGCGCCGCCGTCGGGACCGCCCTCCGCGGCGCCCACTGGCCGAGGCGCCCGGCCGCCGGGGGCGGGGCCGGCGCGGGGCGGGGCCGGGGGCGGGGCCGGCGCGGCCGGGGCGGGGCCAGGTGACAGGGCCTGCGCGCCGGAGGGGCGGGGGCCAGTGACAGGGCCTGCGCGGGGCGGGACGCGGGAGGCCGGCTGGCGCGCGCGGCGGAGGGCGGGGCCGCGCCGGTGGACGCGGCCAAAAGCCGCGTGGCCGGCGCGTGGGGAATGTAAACACCGCGGGCGCCGAGAGTCCGGGCCCGGCCGCGGTCCTGCCGGGTCGGGCCCTGGTTCGGGCCCCGGGCCGGTCCGCACGACTTGTCGTCGGTCCTCCTGCCCTGCGCGCGCACTGTCCCTCCTTGCACGTCCTCCCCGCCCCCGAGACGCAGGGTTCCGGGCCCTGAGTTGGGGCGGGGATGTGCCCAAGGTCACAGCGCCAGGTCGCTGGGCCGGGGCCTGCGGCAGGCCGCTGTGTCTGGGGCCCCCTGTGGATCAGCGGTATTCCTGGGCAGCCGTCTGCCCATCCGTGCATGCGCTCATTCATTCATTGTGCTAACGGTCCAGCACCTTCCACGTGTGCCCCTACCCCACCGACTGAGCATCTGGAGACCTCGCTAACCTGGGAATCCACGTGGCCCTCTCTGGCCTAAAGCACTGCGAGTGGTTCCCATCGGCCTTAGGATCAGATCCACGCTCCCTGCGCTGGCCTCCAGCACTCCACGGGAACTGGCGCTCAGCCCCGCTCAGACCTCCCCCGCAACCCCTCCCCGCACAGTTCTTCGGCCTTTCCCACCTGAGGGCTGTGGAGCTGGTCACCTGCTCTGGCCCCCTCTGGCTCCCCCACCTTCCTGAGAACTACAAGGGCTCAGTGACCATATGCTCTCCAGCACCCCTCTCCCCAGGAGTTCTCTCTACCTCATGGCCCTGCTGTGGTTCCTTCACAGTGCTTGCCACCCTATGTCTTGCTTCTTGGTTGCTGCCTTGCTTGGTGTCCCTCTCCCCACCCGTCTGTCTTGTTCCCCTGGGTCTTGGCATAGTGCCTGGAGGAAGGGAGACACTGAAATCCTATTTATGAATGATTGCCTGAGAAACATAAACAGATCAAACTTTTGAGGAACTTACAGGTTAGAGCATGGTTCTCAACCTGTGGGTCGCGACCCCTTGGGGGTCCAACGCCCTTTCACCGGGGTCGCCTAAGACCATCGGAAAACATATATTTCCGATGGCGATTCATAACAGTAGCAAAATTACAGTTATGCGGTAGCAACAAAAATAATTTTAGGGTTGGGGGTCACCACAACACGAGGAACTGTATTAGAGTCACGGCGTCAGGAAGGTTGAGAACCACTGGGTTAGAGGGAGAGACAGGTGCAGAACAATCATAGCTTGAAAGTACCTTCGGCACTCAACTTCTGGAAGACTGGAGCAGAGGGCTCCTGAACATGCCCAAGGTCCCTGCTGATATACAGTCTCGATCTTGTGTCGTCCCCAACCCCCCACGGTCTTCTTGAAGTTAGAGCCTGGGTCTCATTGAAGAGGGTAACTTGTGCTACCTCCAAGAGGCCCCTCCAAGCAGATTGGTGACCTTTCAGGGGATCTGAGGCCAAGGCTGCTGAAGTGACTTGCTCAGGTTGGCTTAGGTGGCCATAGGACCCAGGTTCTGAACTCCCAATCCTGGGTCCTTTCGTAATAACAATGACATGTATCATAAACCGAGATTCCAAAATGGCAGCTTTGGGCTGATCCTGTAAGTGTTATTTTAGTTCGACATCACAATAATCCTATAACACTGATACCATGATTATCCTATTTTGAGATAGCAATGATCTACTTCCTAGGGTCATTGTAAGGGTTAAGTGAGATAATGCAGATGAATCACTTAGTACAGTTCCTGGCACATAGTAAGTGCTCAATAAATGACAGTTATTATAACAACAATAAACAAGACAGTTTTCCTTCGCGGTTGTAGCAGTTTACACTCCAGTGAGCAAAGAAAGTGTTCCGGATGATTCACATCCTAGCTGATATATTACCCACTGGTATAGTAGAGAATGAATTTGGTATATTCATTCCATGGAATACTACGCAAGAATCAAAAGGAAAACCACGGAAACAGGCAACAATGGGAATGAATCTGACAGACATGTTGAGCAAGAAGCCAGACACAAAAGCATATTCCTGTGTGATTCCATTTTCACTGAAGTTTCACAAAAGGCAAAATTGGTGACAGTGGTCAGAACAGTAGTTAACCCTGGGTGAAGAAGTGACTGGGAGGGGACCAGGGCAACTTCTGTGTACTACACATTTTATTTCTTGACCTTGATCTTGATTTCTTTGTTTTCCCCAATTTTTATTAATTTATTTTTATTACAGATGTTTCTCCTTGTCCCCCGCTAGACCCCCTTCTCCCCATCTTGCCCCCCCCCCCCAGCATTGTTGTCTGTGTCCATTGGTTACGCATACATGCATATAAGTTCTTTGGATCATCTCATCCATCTCCCCCAACCACCTCCTCTGAGGTTAGTCCGTCTGAACCGTACTCCTTTCTGTGTCTCTGGGTCTATTTCGTTCATCTGCCCACCGTGTTCATTATATTCCACAAATAAGTGAGTTGATCTTTATTTCTTGATCTGAGTGGCGGTGACACGGCTGTGCACATACATAAAAATTCACCGAGCTATACCTTTAAGAGGTGTGCACTTTTCTGAGGCTATATTACACTTCAATAAACAATTACACTTTCTTTCCAAAAACAAAATGAAGCAAGACTTGAATAATCCCTGCCCACTTGGGAGCTTCCAGTCCGGAAGGAAGGCAGTCAGTTGCAGTACAGGGTCCTAAGAGCTGAGATGGGAAAATTCTGGAGGATGTGACTTCACGTGGATTTGTGGGGGTCGAGGGGAGGGCATCCAACCTACTTCTGGATGCCAAGAAGGCTGCATAGGGGGAGGATGCAAGAGAAAAGCTACGTCCGAGGCAGCAGAAACAGCTCAAAGGCTTGGGATAGTCAGAAGTTACCGGTGGTCTCCCAGGGGCAGACCACCTTCAGGCTCAGTGTCCAAGCACCAGCTCAGCCTGGAGGGAGACACGGACTGGACTAGAGGCGGTAGAGGGAGGGCAGCACCTTCGCCATGAGACCTTGGGGAAGTTCCTTAACCTCTTAGTACCCCAGTTTCCTCATCCGTAAAATAGGGTGATTCTAATTATTCCCAACCTCCAGGGTTGCTGTATTACTACCCATAATGCATTTGCCATAGTATCTAGCATGGAGTAAGCGCTCAATATGTATTAACAATTCATAAAGAAATTTGGGGGCACTTGCTTAGCTTCATACATGGTTCAGGCCCCGCTGATGGTGGAAGGGTCAGAGGACCAGAGCCAGGATACAAGGCTTAAGGAGAAGTCAACTCGTGGGAGAAGCCCTTCCCAGATAGGATTCCTTAACCCAACACCCCAGATAGCCTTCAGGGGATCAGAAAACTACCCACTGTGTGCCAGTCCATTGTGTGCATAACCCTTACCAGCTCCTTAAAGTCACCAAACAGCAAGTCGAGGACCGCTGCTGTCCCGGAGGGTTGACCAGGGGAGGCCTGGGCTGTGTGGGACAGAGCTGGGCAGCGGCTGCTGTCTGGCCGAGCCAGGGAAGGGGTTCTCGTGAGACTACAGAAGAAGAGGGGCCAAAGTGGCAGCGTCAGGGGGAGCGGTGGGAAGGCTCCAAGCTCGGAGTCTGCTCTCCCACAGTCCCCTCTCTGCACTGGCCCAACCTATGCTCCCTCCGTCTGGGTTATCACTCGGGTCCAGCTTACATGGCCGTGGACTCCAAGCAGGGAGACTGGCAAAGCAGTGGGTGGCCCCAGCCCTGGCCTAACACCCTTCACACTGGAGAACAAGTCCAGTCGATACTTCTGTAGCGGCTCTTACCAACTTAAAAACTACAGTAAAAATTAAATTGACCTTTAAACGTAGTAGATGATAAAGCAATGAGGTGACATTTATGGATTCTGTGCTAAGCTCAGGGTTGCCAGGAACAGAGACTAATTTGAAGACACTTCAAGGAGTTTGGGGGAGGGGGGTTCACCAAGTTGGGGGGCAGTTATGCAGCAACAAGCTACCCCTACAACGTGGGCTAAGACACAAGAGGGCCCAGCTTTTACATGAATGTCCCTATTTTGGGTTTTCTGAAAACAGGTACAGCCAAAACACTTGGAGGGTAGGGGTGTGCGGTCCCGAGAGAGGAGGCCTTGGCACCACCCTGCTGGTCAGGTACTCACAATTCCCTTTAAGCACCACTCTGTGTACTTTGATAGGCATGGGATCCTGGCCAATCAGAGCACCGCATTCCTGACCTTGTGATTGGTTCAGAGTTAGGCACATGACCCAAGCTGGGCCAGTGAAAATCCTCTGGTGTTGCTAAGCAGATAGGAAATGGGCCTGGGACCAGAAGCCCTCCGGCCACTCAGGGTGCTCATCCTTGGCTTCTGATTGGTTGAGTTTCACTCCAGCTCAGGACTTGAATACTAGGAAGTTTCCCAGATGCTGGAGCCAATGAATTATTTCCATGTGTTTATTTGGCTTGTTGGAGTTGGGTTTCTCATAACTTGCAACGAAGAGAGTCGTGAGTGAGTGACAGGGTGATGACCCTCAACCTTTGACCTGCAGGCCCACTGGGCCTGGTCTACAGAGTCAGTAAATGCACACCTGGGGTGCCAGGTGGCGTCACT